ACACTCCGTCTCACACGGTGGCCAACCAGTTCCTCTGGGTTCCCACCAGCAGAGCTCAGAGGCCGAGGCCTTCCCCGGATGTGGCCTCTTGGCTCCGGGATTCAAAGGTTGACTGCCTGTGAACATGGAGGGTCCCTTTTGTCACCAGGTTCCATCTTGTCGTCAGGCTGAAACCTCTGGGAGGGATCATTTTTTAGGGTGAGGGTAAAGAGATGACCCAAAATGTTGCCTTTTCCCGGTAAATTCTCCCTGGCGAGCTTCGTGGGAGCTGGACGGGCCGGCCAGGCCCAGGGTCTCCTCAGATCTGGGGAGCTGAGCAGGGGGACCCCCAGGGAAGTCCCGGCCAGCCCCCTCTGCTCTGGGACCCCCTGGAGGGGTTGGGGTGGGGCGGGGCAGTAAACGCCCTAGAATCCACGTCCTGGCAGGAAAAGGGGGGCTGGATTATCCTCTCCAAATATCGGCATGGCAGCACAGGCAGGTCCGGCTTACTGGCATTTTTGGGAGGACCTGTGTGGTTTTGGGAAAGGGTTTACGCTGTGCTTTCTAACCTTGTGGGTTTTGGGGTGTGTGTGTTTGAAGCCATCCTGCCTTTCTGAGAGGGAGCTCTTCTTCTCTCCAGCCTGCGGGAGGCCCTCCCGTCTAGCGGCCGGTTGCTCTCCTTGCGCCCCTCCGGCCGGGCCTCCTTTCCTCGCGGGGGAGGGGGTGGTGGAGATGTTCCCGGATTCCCTTCCACCAGAGCCCCCCCCCACCTCCGCCCCCGAGGGCGCCCTCCCGGCTGGCTGGCGGGGGGTGGGGAGGCTGCTCTCTTCTGGGTCGCCAGCCCCACGGCGATAAGATTAGAGGGGGCGGAGAGGCCGCCGCCGTCGGCAGCGCCCATAAAAGCTCTTCATCGTCTACCCGACCTGCAAGACCTACTTCCCGCACTTCGACTTCTGCGCCGGCTCGGCCCAGATCCGCGCCCACGGCAAGAAGGTGATGAAGGCGCTGGACGACGCCCTCAAGAACGCCGACCACCTCCACGAGAACCTGGCCGAGCTCAGCAACCTCCACGCCTACAACCTCCGCGTCGACCCCGTCAACTTCAAGGTCTGCTGCCGACCACGACCCCGGGCGGGGCGGGGCGGGGGTTGTCTGGGGGGGGCCTCCCGGCTCCCGGGCGGGACTTTGGGGGGTGGGGAGGGGGCGCAGCTTCCCTTCGGCCGGCTTTCCTTCGAGGGGGCGGCCCGGAGCCCTGTGTTTCGTCGGGACTCCCTCCCTCCCTCCCTCCCTCCCTCCCTCCTCTGACGTCCTCCTTCCTTCCTTCCTCCCGTTCCCCGGCAGCTCCTGGCCCGCTGCATCCAGGTGGTGCTGGCCATCCACCTCCGGGGCGAGTTCAACGCCCAGGCCTACGCCGCCTGGGACAAGTTCCTGGCCTGCGTGGCCGACGTGCTGGCCGAGAAGTACAGATGAAGGGAGGCCGCCCGACGCCGCCGCCGACGCCGACGCCTGCGCAGCACCCCCCCCCCTTCCCGGG